GTTTATGTATATAGAGGTTACACAACGATTAACTGTTGAATATGATATTTATTTCACTCGAGATAGTTAATTTTCAACCGTGACAAAAGACACGAGCTTGAGCGAGAGTCTTTCTGTAACTTTTGAAATTTAACTAACCTGGACACGCGACGGTGTGACGTCGAAACGATATCGAGCGTCTGTAGCAATCGTCTTCTTTCAATATTGCCTTTTTGCCGTTTATTTTTATGATCTTGTCACTAAAATCTTTATGATACCATAATTTGATACTCCGTATGAACAATTCATGTCGAGAAATTGACAAGAGACAATGTTTTCTTGGCGTTTTTAATTGTTAAATAAGAAATCCTTAACTGTACAGCCGTAAGTTTTAGCGGCAGCTGTCGGTGAATTTCTAGGAAAAAAAGATGTCTCTTAGCCGAGGAGAGAAGGTAAATTCCGCTAACCTCTTTGAAATATAAGTACATGCATTTATTCGGAATAAAAATACTTCTTCCACTAACATCTCAACCATCGTTATAAATGAGTAATCTATATAACATTAAGTCCTATTATCGTGCTTCGTGCGGTTGGACATTCACCCTACCGTACTCTATCAGAGCGAGCATGCTCTAATTGAACCTGTTCGGGTTTTTTTAATTTAAATCCAACTTTATGAACAGATATATCTGATTTGGAGTATATGTCATGATACTTATAATTCTTGCTTGCGATGTTTTGTGTAAACTCAAAGCGATAAGAATGCGTTATGTGTGAACTCAGACTCATTTATATGTATTACAATTGTACATACGTCTCTGTTTATAGCTGACACTGTGTTGTCGGTCGACAGCGTATTTTTATCACCGGCTTTCCCAAAAGATGAAACTGACCACACTGGACGTTCGCTTCAGGTCATGTCATTATCAACTTCGTAAAGTCTCGTTAAGAGATATATATTTTCAGTATCGACTCGATTTTCAGGTTGTTATTTCTATTTCCTGTCGATAAGTCTACATTATCAAACATTTATAAAAAGGAATATTTTACTTCTATGGTATGAAGTACATGTAACTTATGCTATAAATATTGTTCTTAGGTATATTGGAAAGCGATAATGTGTGTTTTTGCCAACAAACCTCATCGACCACATGTGACGTCACATAGAAACTTTTATTAGTTGTGTAAAAATAACTATTCATAATCCATAATAAAAGATGATAAAATGTTGGGTTTTCAGTTTGCTATTGCGTTCTTTGCGGCCTTGCACATGCCTTACAATATTAACTGGAGAACGGAACTTTCGATTTCTCAGAAATCATCACAATCATTCCTTAACCTCGAAAAATTCTTAGTAATAATTTTCAATAGAAAATCTTCAGCTCTTGGCCCGAATTTATGAAACCACTTTCATGCTAAATAATTATTTCTTTGCTCAAAACACATTTGTTGTAACAAGTTTAAACAATCATGTTATACGAACAATTAAAAAAAATGTAGAGTGGAAACATGAAAATGTTTTTTCGGATCCAATTCTTTATAATACATAAAAACTTAGATCGCGCATAAGATTAGTTTCATGAATAAGGGTCCAGGGGGTTCCTAATGTAAGAAACTGCAAGTTATAACATATTAAAATTTCTGTCGTAGGGAAATAAACAGTATTTGTAATTTTCCTATCTCTGATTAAAATAATGAATCACATGGAAAAGGCAGGTATCCCTCTTTGTACTTTTGCAACTAAGGGTCAGCTGCACTGAATGGCATACGTTCGTGACTAAATAATTACGCTTAAGTTTTACAATGCGCAAACAACTCGTATATCACCGTTAGCATGGCATATAGAAGAATTAGTTTACATCTTTTTATTTACTACAACGGAAACGGAAGATGCCGTAGTTTGTTTCTATTTTACGTCTTTATCGGCAATTTGAAGATGCATATATGGTGTTAAACGTCATTGAAACGGAAGTTGTAATTAAGGTAAACGTTTGAGTTTTTATGTTGTTAATTGATAAAATGTGTGAACAAAAGTCATGTATTTAAATCACAAATATCTTCATACCCGCACGAAACATAATAAAGAAAAAAATCAAAAGCAAACTTACACAATACTAACACAAAAGGAATTTTGTTTTTTTAAATATGTCATTTGGCTCTCATACATGTACCGACGCTAGAACAGTTACTAGCTATACTGTATTACTTGTTGGTAAAGTGAAGTAGTTGCTGGTCCTATGCACATATGTTATATATGACACGGACGCAAATGATTATTTGTTGGGTCAATAAACATTGAAGACTTTATTGACAAAATTGAAATAATCGTTGATCAAATTAACTAAACACTTGCAACTGTACGGAGCCCCTAAACTGACATACTTCACACTATTTCATTTGGTTTCATCGAAATATTAATCCCTTAAAACGAAAAATTATTTCGTTATATAGAACTACTTTTATTCCATTTTTTTTCGAAAAGTTATTGCGTTAAAACGAGTTGATATTTCGTTTTTATTTAAGAAATTATGAAACGAAATACATTTCAAAACAAGAGACAGTGGGCCTTAACAGTCACCTGAGTTATAATCCGAATTATGTTTCTTGTTGTGATGTGACAAATAGCACAAATAATTCAAATATGCTTTTCGTTGACACAAGGATGTTGGGGAAAGACTAACAAATATATACGCAGCTGGCAAATATTTAGAAAAAACATCAATTCATAGAATCACATAGTTCAACATTGTAAAATAAACCCCTTTCTAGGGAGAAGGGTGACTCGGGGGAGATGACATTCACATAATTGATAAACCACTTTAAGATTCTTTCATCAAATGTTTGATTCCAGCATATCTGGATCTGAAAAAGAACATTCTTGAAACTTTAGTCAATTTGACCCACTTTGGGTCCCGCTTCTCAGGCCCCTGTGGGTGATTCAGGGTCTTCATATCAAACTGTATTCACATAGTGATAATTTCAACTGAAAAAAAGCAAAATATATTAATAAAAAAGTTTTCTTTTCTGCCTTTAAAACTACATTAAATTATACTTCCTCCCCGGGATAAAATTCCCAATTTAATAAAACACTTAATGACCTTTCCATCCATGAAAGAGGTATTTTATTACCGCTTTTTTTTTTTTGGTCTGAGGAAGAAGATTGTTGAAATTTGACCCATTTTGGTCCTGCCCCTCAGCCCCTACAGGTTATTCATTGAAATAAGTTCCGTGGATTTAGTAAATGATTTTGACTTCACTGAAATAGTCGTTAGTCACAACTGCATTACACTTCTTACCTACGACATTGGACCAATTAACTTTACACTTGTTATTGACATATTAGAAAGAGTCATTGGTCCAATGAACGTCACAACACTGAAGTAGTTCATGGTCCAATAATCGTTACACATAGCATTAAGGAAATTGAAGTAGTCGTTGGTCAAAGGAACTTTACCCTTCTTATTGAAAACATTGACAAAACTGAAATGGTTGGAAGTCCAATGAACGTTAGACATTTTGATAATGCAATATGTGTCTGGTTGAACTCGCGACAATTCATTGGCAGAACTGAAGCAGATTTATGTCGAGTAAACGTTAAACATTTAAAATGCATCGCTGGAACAGTCATTTAAATAGGCAAAAGGTCGTTTGGACACTTTTCATTACATCACGTGCTATCTGATATTTTTAGAAAAGCGTTCTGTGTGAAGTTATTTTTGAATTTCACACGATGTCACGCTCCAAGTCGCCAGGACAACGGGAATCTAGTTATGTCTCGGGAATCTATCTCTATTGATAAGTGAACGACAATATTGAACTGTAACTTTATAAATAATAACATGTTACAGTTGTACTTGTACATGTAATACATACGACACTATTCTAAGTATATGTTACACATGGACAATATATGTATCTCAATTAAACCTTACACATGGACAATATCTTAAGTATATCTTTCATATGGACACTATCTTAAGTAAATCTTACACATGGACAATATCTTATTTATCCTTTCACATGGACAATATCTTAATTATCCTTTCACATAGACAATATCTTAAGTATACCTTACATATGAACACTATCTTAAGTATATCTTACAAATTGACAATATCTCAAATACATCTTACACATGGACAATATATAATCATTTCTCTCATATCCGGTCATGTGAGAAAACGCTGGCCATGTAAGATAACCATGCTTGCTGAGTTTATCTTAAATGACGTCCCGAATTTGGAAAACACCGATGCCGCAATGCGGAAAAGGCAACGTGATGAAATTAAAACATTTAACAATATAATTACCGTACACGTTAGAACGATGATATTTTTTTTACGCAAACACTGTTTGCAAATATGGGGTATTCGAAATCTCGCTGACGAATTCGTTCGTCAAAAATGCTCTGGGGGAAATTAATTTTAAAAAAAGGTAGCCAGTCCAAACGCATTTTCAAGGTTTCTGAGCTTATTCTGGTAGTTGGAATGAGAGAAAATACTCTTTCATGCCCAAGGGTGTAGGATAGGGAAATTCCACCCACGGGATTTTCAAATTTGGCAAAACCCTCGGCAAAATCCTCGGCAAAGCCTCGGTTTTACCAAATTTGAAAACTCCTCGGGTGGAATTCCCCTATTCTACATCACACGACATGAAAGAGTCTTATAATCTTACACAATGAGGTTTGTTGGCAAAAACACACATTATCGCTTTCCAAGATTACACATGGACAATATCTTAAGTATACCTTATAAATGGACAATATCTTAAGTATATCTTACACATGGACAATATCTAAAATATCTTACACATTTATATTTTCCCACGATATCCATGGATAGATTATGCAATATCATGGGTTAGGTGTTTTGTAATATATACAATGTACATATATATACACTGTATATATATATCATCTCTTATTTCTAATCGCACGCTGTCCTTTATCTTTATAAACAGAAGCTGATAACACAATTCACGTATGCCGTGTTTGTGTATAGGACTCATCTGTAGGATGATAAAGCGATAGAGACATCAGGTGAGTATTATTGTAGGTATGCAAAGACAGTAAACCAGCATTTTACCACTGCTGTTTATTCATTCACAGGTGAGTTACCAGATTTTGCCACATTTATTAGGTTTTCCGCCTTCTACGATACACACGCACGGGTTTACAGCAGATCGATTCTTGATTTCATCTATATGTCCCCTAAATTGAAGACACGGGATAAACCATCTCCGAATCTGAACCGGTAATATGCCTACTCCAAACACGATTTCTCATCCGGGCGAGAAATCGTGTTGTGAACGCAGCAATTTTAGCACAATTTCTTATCCGGGTGAGAAATTGTGTCGGGTGAGAAATCGTGCCAACACTAGTCGCCTCTTACGATCATGCAGCGGGATACACCAGGCCTATTATTTCCTCGAACACGTACGGGTCAATAAAATAGATAAATACGCGTGAATTCGTTAATTGTTGAGCAGAACAAGCAAGCCTAAAAAAGCCCGCTTTTAATTTATAAATGACATTGTCCTTCGATGTATGTTATTGTAGTTTACTTGGGGGCTTTTCAGCTGCACACAAGCACATACGAGAGGTATAATGTACAGCTTTAATTTGGGAGGTATACAACACATATAATGTGGTGTATTCAGCTCCCATGTTAAATTACAGACTCTATACCTATAATAAGGTACCTATACAATTTAGGTATCACATTATAGATCGAGGATTTTCCACATAAGGAATCATAATGAGGATTCGGTATCAGTTTGACCACGGATCTTATGGTCCGAATCCATGGTTTCAGGAGACGTCCTACATAAGATCTATATACAATAGAGCTAGATATCATACAGACTCGAGGTTTTTCCAGGTTCATATCCCAGATGATATCCATATAAGTAAGTGGCATCATGATGCACAGCTGCGCATGGTCCATCTACAAGGTTGAGGATTGTCGGGAACTTTCTCTAATAAGCTCGGCTGACATAACACAGAACCGTTTACGGTAAAGTGATGAGCGAAAACACAGCTACGCCACCTACCTATATTTATCTCGATATAACCAGAAATAGGTTCAGTTCAGAAAACGTTTCACCATTTTGAATAAGAGATCTTAAAGATATGTCTTAAAGATATGATTTAAAGATAAGTCTTAAAGATATGTCTTAAAGATAAGTCTTAAAGATATGTCTTAAAGATATGTCTTAAAGATATTTCAAAGTGAACGTTAAGACCTCGGGTGACATTTTTGTAATAGCCTGGAATGTCACCGATACACTGTCGACAAACTTATCAACATTAATATATTTAAATACTTAGACGCATTACAGAAAAGAGAAGGTTATTGTGCTGCAACCTCGTTATTTACTTGACTTGATACACTGAAATGGCCACGCCATAAATAAACAATAACTATATAAATACACAAACAACTCGTACCAACTTCTCTGGAAAGTGGTTACCTGATGCAGGTACCGGATTTAAACATTATTTCTATGTTATTATAGTAGATAAATACTATGGCATGTAAACAGAAAGTTATTTATTATGATTCTTTTTTTTCTTTTTTTTTTTGGTTTGTTATCACACGTACATTACATAAGTTCAATACATTTGTCCAATTTATTACAAGTTATATTGTGTTAATATTCACAGACATTTAAGGGCGTGTCACACAACCGATGTACAACGCCGGGACTAAACCGGAGAAAAAAAATTAACATCGGCAGAGCTCCGGCGAGAAAGCACTTGAAAAATTGACCATAGCAATACCGAGTAGTACCGGCGTTACCGTTGTTCTACCGTTTTACTGCCACTGTAAAGCCGATGTGCTACCGAATACCACTTTTCTGTCAGCTTAGTGTTACCGATACGCCGCCGATGTTATACCGAGGCATAAGTACTACCGTATTCGGTAGTACTGCGGTATCACATTGTTATCAGTACGGTACACATTGAGGCTACGGTCGGAGAGCCGCCGATCCATTACGGGGCGCTTCCGGTGCTCTAACGACATAAACGAAGCAGTACTGGAGTACCGCCGCTGTACTACCGTTGTAGTCCCGTTGCTCGCTCCGGGAGCGTAACTGCGGACATTTTTGAGCATGTTCAAAAATTACTACCGGCGCCTGCCGTTGCTTGATTTTTCGCCGATGTTCTGAGGATGCCCTGACGATTTACTTCCGTTCTTAGCAAAGTGATAGCGTTGCACTGCCGTACTCGTACCGATCCCCGGAAATCGTCAAACAAGTGCAGCGGTATAGCTCCGGCGACCCAAATCGGGTAGGTGTGACAGGCCCTAGGTGGTAATTATGTTATAGCTACGGTCTCAACACATGTATGTTTCTGTAAGAATAGGTAAGAGTAGTTATGTAAACTCAGTAGGAAACAAGTGTGTAATTCATATAAATCTTGTCGTTTGGCAATTATAAACGGACGACATACAGGTGACAATAAAGGCAGTTTGTGACGTCATGCACTTGAGTAAACTTGACACAGAACACACCCGAGAGATATATGCAGACCTGCGATTTACATGGAAACCAGGGCAAAGGAAGCCTAGGATCTCCTGCTCTCTCTTTACCTACTGAACCAAGTGAATGTTCCATGTCAGTACATAACTACGACGTCATCCGAGGATAATAGGAAGATCCACATCTTTTTCGACGCTTCACAGGAAACCATAGCTGTCGTAGCGTACATGAGAGTCCGCAGAGAAAAGGTCAGTCATGTCGGTTTCATATTGGGCAAAGCCAAAGTTGCGCCAAAAGCATGGGTACACCGTGCCCAGATTAGAGCTATGTGCCGCGGTGCTGGCCATTCAGATAGGACAACCCTTACAGGAGGAATTGCATGTCCTCTCAAGTACACTGATAGCAAGGTGGTCCAGGGCTATCTGAACATGTGTCAAACAGAGTTGACAAAATTCTTGCGTTCTGTGAATCTGATCAATGGTCTGATGTTACGACACATCTGCGTTTATCAGCCATATTGCAGAGAGCTTTTCATCGTCTGAAACAAAATGTCGAGGATGGCATCACTGTATATCACAACTGAGTGTTGAAGCCGGACAACGTGCAAATAATCTCATCATTAAGGAGGTACAAAAATAATTCTATCAGACCGAGATAAACTGTTTGAGAGTAGGAAAGACTTTGACAAAGAACAGAACCATTCTGAGTTTCTCCCCTGTCTTTGACAATACTGGTTTGCTACGCGTTGGCGGCCGTTAAAGCAGGGCGTAGTTGTCTGTTTCTCAATATTGATATTGATACCTGGTAAGGCGTACGTTGCCAGACTCATCGTTCTCGATTGCCATGAAAGAGTTCGTCATCAAGGTCGCCACTTCACGGAGGGCTCCGTCAGAGAATCTGGTTACTGGATCACAGGAGGAAAGCGTTTGATTTTGCATGTAAGAAACTACGTTGACAAATGTGTCAGCAAAGGATGGCTGATCTACCCGATTTTCGTTTAACACCTGCTTCACCATTTACCTATGTCGGGGATGATGTGTTCGGCCCCTGGAGTATCATAACTAGGAAGACGTGGGGAGGTTCGGCTTATTCTAAGCGTTGGACAGTGATATTTACCTGTTTAACTACACGGGCAATTCATCTAGAGCTTATCGAGGATATGAGTTCGTCTTCATTTATTAACGCTTTGGAAAGGTTTCAGTCAGTACGAGGGAAGGTCACAGAATTCAGGTCTGATAGGGGCACACATTTCGTACGGGCAACGAGTGAACTCAATATCGACACTAGATGATTCTGTACTCTTCTGGAACAGTATAGAAGTTTAATCCACCATTTCATCTCATATGGGTGGATGTTGGAAAAGGATGATAGGTGCGGTCAGAAAGGTGTTAAACTCTAATCTTTTGGATGAAAGGGGGTGGGATCTTACGCACGAAGTACTATCTATGTTCATGTGTGAGGTGATGGCAATAGTTAACGCCAGACCTCTATCGTTCATCTCGTCGGATCCCGAGAGTCACCATTCATCTTTACCCCGTCAATCCTTCTTACACCGAAAACTGGAGATTCTGCGGATGTGTTTGTACATTCAGATGTAAAAGAGATGTACAAGTCTCGATGGAAACACGTGCAAGTTTTGTCCGACCGTTTCTGGAAGCGTTGGCGCGAGGAATTCCTACCGACCGTTCAGCGACGTCGAAAGTGGCATCAAGAAATGCCCAACGTAAAGGAAGGTAGCATTGGCATGCTGCAAGACACGGGACTTGTGCGGAACGACTTGTCGCTGGGAGTCGTGTCTAACGTGTTTCCTAGTGACGATGACTTAGTTAGGGAAGTAGAAGTTAGGGTCAGTCGTGAAGGTAGACAAGCAACCTGCATTCGCCCAGTTGTGGATCGAATTTGTTCTTGTGATAACATTATAATTTTCAATTTAGTTGTATTACTAGCTATAGGTAGAAGCTAAATGGTAGTGATATTAAGGTGTTAATATCAGACGGGGAGTGTGCTGCCTTAGGTGTGTGCATCCTTATTGTTCACAGTCAGTTTGGCAAATTAGAGTTACGCCCCTCTATTATAGAAAACGTTTATGAAAGGATGGTATGTTGGTGTACCTCGTAGTCGCGGATCTTATCTGGTTTTCGCCTATCATGGCCATTGTTGCCCCAGACAATGTAAGTCTGGTGTTTTATTGAATTGATCATGACAACAATGTTAGGTTTCTATTGTTTTAAGGTAGAGAGAGTTTTTTTTATTTTCGCCTTTGTGTTGATACCGGTATTTCTATTTTCTACTGATTTCAGTGCTACACATCTAGTCCATACAGAGACATGCAACGTCTCTGAGACCTACAGTATGTCTAGGGTCTATATCAATAACCCACTTAATTGGTTTTGTTGTGGTATTAAGTAGAAATACAGGTCAAAGGTATGAATAATTAGTAAGGAATTAATCATGTAAATTAATTTCATCGTGTTTTAATTGTTGCTATTTTTGGCTGATTAGGCATTTGTATTTCAGTCTTTACTTGATTCGTCAGCAATAAAGACAACTCGTCGCTGTACATCTATTTTAATAGTGCTAAGAGTGCTTGACCCCTCTAGATCTGTGTCTACCAGGTACTACCGGAAAAGACGATTCCGTCGGGGTACATATCTAAACTCGACGGGGAACAGCATTACATTGCAGTTGAAGCATGACTTGGGTAGATATTATTTCAAGCTTTATGAAAAAGTGTATAAACCCTTGGAAATATAATATGTCTACGGAACCCAGCGATATTTAAGGATTGGTTGTCATCCTTTTGACGTTTATTGGCATGTAAACTACATCGGGCTTACGTTATCTTGAATGATGCGCGTTAGCGCACCATGTTAAATATATCGCAAGCCCGATGTAGATTACACGCCAATAAACGTCAAAAATATGACAAACAATCCTTATATTTATATTCCAAACCAACAATATTAGTTGTGCAATGTTGCGAGTATTGTTAATTAATGTTTAAAAACTCTTATACACACCGACTGGGTCAGCGGTAAATTGTTCGGAACAGCCGGGTCGTTTCGCATTCCACAGTCGTTGTCAAGGGCAACCAGGCCGACAAAAACAACAAACAAGAAAATTCCCCAGTAAATTTAATAATTTTTTTTTTTTTTTTATTTAAATGCATATATGTCAATTACCAATTTGTATACTAACATGTGACCATTTTAATATATGTTGTGGTCATTTAGCGATTTAACTGTCATACAATAACATTTTAAGACACAACACAGCGGAACATCGCCACTTGGCGGTAATTAGGTCAGAGATCAGCTGGCGGAGGCGGCCATCATTGAAAGTTTTGAGTCGGCTGGCACAAGTTTTCAATGTTTACCGAAGGGAAATGAACATCCATGAAAGGTAGAATTACTCAAGAAACCTGACGTGAATGAAGACGAATTAGACTGATATGCAGGAGATGGAGTAGACATCACTACCCTGACCTAATCCCCGTTGTAGTTCATTGGTAAATATGTTACAATGGGACCAGTAGAGTTATCTAGGCACTATGCAGTGCAAATGTAAATATTTAAGTATATACAACTCCGTAATCAGTCAGGTTCAAAAACCTGCCGTTTTCAACTGATGCTACACCTCTACAACTCTCGGCCACCCTATCATCAAATGACGAATGCGACACTTTGTTTGTCAAAATATATCCAATAAATTAAGGTGATCTCTGACAAAGGTTTGTTATAAAACATGGACTGTTACCGTATACGTTAGAAAGCTGTGATTATTTTTTCTGCGCAAACTCTGTTTGCAAATATAGGGAATGCTTAATCTGGCTGACTGATTCGTTTTCGTCTAAAAAGCTTAGAGGAAAAATCAATATTTTGAAAATGGTAGCCAGTCCATATTCTGGTTGTTGGAATGAGAGAAAAATACTCTTTCATGACCAAAGATGTGGGATAGGGAAATAAAAGGCCTGGGGTTTTACCAAATTTGAATCAGGTCTCATATGTAATGACGACAGTATGACCCAATATGAGCACTGTATCTGAACAAACAAACGTTCGGTGGATACGTATTATATTTAAATAGATACATTTATATATAGGCAAAGAACAAACAAACGTTCGGTGGATACGTATTATATTCAAATAGATACATATATATATAGGCATAGAACAAACAAACGTTCGGTGGATACGTATTATATTTAAATAGATACATATATATATAGGCAAAGAACAAACAAACGTTCGGTGGATACGTATTATATTTAAATAGATACATATATATATAGGCAAAGAACAAACAAACGTTCGGTGGATACGTATTATATTTAAATAGATACATATATATATAGGCAAAGAACAAACAAACGTTCGGTGGATACGTATTATATTTAAATAGATACATATATATATAGGCAAAGACGATATAACGACATTGCAGGCAAAGAAATTTCGCAACTTTTTCATAGAAAGTCTGTATGAAACTACAACTTCAAATACATTAAAAAAAGCACAGTAATAACAGATATCATTTATGAAATATGCTTATTTTATCGCATGTCCCCACGCTTAGCTTTTAACCGAAGGCTCACTATTGAAAAAAATCATCTTAAAGACGTGGGGTCAAATGAATTAAAAGAAAAAAATGTGAATAAATGAAGTAAGAAAAAATCAAAGCAGTAGTTGTTCGTTATAAAATAGCCAATTATCTATTGCAGGTGAAATATTATAATGAAGGTATCTGTGGCGATACCTCACGTGACCAGTCAGCTCGGGGAGGGGCCCCACTGGGAGGCGGACACACAAACACTGTTGTTTGTGGACAGCTTGGAGCAAAAGATTTTCAGATGGAATACTATTACAAAGGGTCTCGCCTACGTCCAGCTAGGTACAGTAAGCTTCACCTTTGCAATATAATACATACAACTTTACCTTTACACCTTCAAACAAGATATATGGGGTGGTCGGGTGGCGGCGTAGTGGAAAGCGCACTTGCCTTTTGCCAAGGCGGCCGGGTTTTGATTCCCCAATCGGACGTGAAATGGTATGGGGTCACCTGCCCGACAATTTGGGTTTTCTCCGGGTGCTCCGGTTTAATCCCACAGTAAGACCCACTCGCGCGCTTACATCTGGGCCAACAAGAGTGATCAGTATAAGTTGTAAAAACATGTTTCATAATTGTAGTAAAACAAATAAAGTTTATCTGCATATAATATGATACATTCAATTTAACACACAACACTGCCAGGAACCAAATGAAAGTGTACATTGCAAACTAATAAACATATAATACATTTACACTGCACACTATTTCACAAAAAATACATGTACATTTCAAACTTCTTAAATGATCGAACTTTCTGCGGTTACTTTCACTGACCTCTGCACCCCTGGAATATGTCATACCAAAATCGAAGGCACGCGGTAAGCTATTTTTTAAATGATAAATATTCAGATGACCAAAATCAAACCAGTCGCTTTGGTGTCACCTAGACTTTAAGATTACAGAGGTTTAGCACCCAACGCCAGTCAATTCTAATGTCACAGTCCCGCCCGATTTATTTTCCTGTGTACATCAAAGTATCAAACAAGTCTATTTCTATCATCCACAAGGTAACACGGTCAACGCCTTCGATTTCGTCGTGACATATTCTAGGGGTGCAGAGCGCGTAAGAGAGTAACATCCGTGGAAATTCTGGGATATATATAACACACATAGATTAAGCTATATTACATCCAGAGACATGTTTTATATTGAAAGCTCCACACAATCCTACAGTTAAAATCTTCTTTACAAGAGTGCGTTGCTTGTGCTAAGGTAACTTTAGATGGTATGCAATTACCACTATGAAAAATATGCAACCGCACGCAAGACGACTCTATTCAACGTACATCCGCTATGGTTTCGCACGTGGGAAGAGTACATTTAATGCACGTGCTAATGGAATGGAATAGCAAGTTTTATAATCGATCAACTACCAGCAATTCAATCTATCACGTAACTAACCTAGATCGTTCTGGTTTTGCATGAAGATCAGACGGTGGGGTCAGTGGTACCATGTCGAGGTGGAGGCTACCTAGTAGGGATGGGCAGGGCCATTTCACATCTGGAATGGAACACTGGAGTCACCACCAAACTACACGAGGTCGACTCGGTGGGATTTGACGACCGATTCAACGATGGCAAATGTGACCCTGCTGGGAGGTTCTGGACGGGTAAGTCATCCACCGCGGCCTAGTGAAACACACTAGACAGCCTTAGATAGGCTAATTGATGTTTTTCACTTTTAGTTCGCTTTACTGTTAAGGACAAGGGAAGTAACTCGTACTGGCAAATATCCACAATTATATTGGGATGCAACACACATGCGGAGCCAGTTTGTTTACAGAAAAAATATCAGACACAAGTTTAAGTGGCAGCTATTAGTTCTGATATTTATCACAAGCCACCTCCCACCCCTTCCTCCTTTTTATTTAATTTAATAGAAATTTATTGTCCATTTTAAATTGATACAAGTGTACAATATTTCATGTTGGTTTTTTTATGCCGTCATTTATATGTTAAATAAATGAGGCGCAAGTTGATCCCCAATTTTGTATAAATGGGTTCTAATTATTATTTTTCATCTTATGTAACAGAAGTACAACAGGTAATAAGTTTCACTTTCAATCCTTGGTTATCTGTTATTTCTAACCTTAATACAACAGAGCACATCCTTGTATGTTTTGATGCAGAGCTAAAGGTATTGTATGTAACGCTGCCAGGTGTATTACAGTAGGAGGTTCTGGACAGGTAAGCTACGCAGCGACGCAATGTCTAACAAGTAAGACGGTTTTAACAGGTTAATTACGCAACGACATCGTGTTGGACACAGTATATGGTTCTGGACAAGTAAGTTGCGCAACGACGCCGCGTGTAACACTGTAGGAGGTTCTTGAAAGGTAAGTTCCGCAACGACGCCACGTGTAGAACAGTATGAGGCTCTTCACAGGTAAGTTAAGCAACGACGCCGGCCGCGTGTAACATAGTAGGAGGCTCATTACGGGTAAGTGACACAACGCCGTCATGTATAACCTATATAGTAGGAGACTCATCACGGGTAAGTGACACAACGCCGTCATGTATAACCTATATAGTAGGAGGCTCATCACGGGTAAGTTACGCAACGCCGTCATGTATAACCTTTATAGTAGGAGGCTCATCACGGGTAAGTGACAAAACGTCGTCATGTATAACCTATATAGTAGGAGGCTCATCACGGGTAAGTTACGCAACGCCGTCATGTGGATACAGTAGTACATGTAAAAATATTTTAAAATTTCAATTAAAGACTTCTTACAATTTTCAGCTGACTCGGTAAATTATTTACTTAAATATAAAATGAAAGACTTCAAAATTATTCTGATGAATATAACATCATATATATGTGAAAATCTAGCAGGCTTCCGAAAAATATATTCTAATTTGGACAATATTTTTGTACTACATTCATTAATTTCTCTCACAAATGAGATGAGAAATTAGTTATATTGTATTTTTATTTACTTCGAAAAAGCGTTTGATAAGTTGGGGCGAAATGGTCTCTGGAACAAACTATTAATAAATCATATAAATGGGAAAATGTACACTATTATACACAATATGTATCGAGGAGTATAATCTAAAATTGTATTGAATGGTCAAGAATCAAACTATTTCCCTTGTGATATCGGATTGAGACAATGGGAAAATTTATCTCCCTTTTCTTTTCAGCCTATATTTAAATGACGTGGAAGATTTTATGATACAACATGATATCAAGGGTGTTGAATGCATCAATAGTCGATTTGAAACAGACCTTCACATATATATTAAACTTTTCATCCTCCTATATGCAGATGATACAATCTTATTTTCTGATAGTTTGAATGATTTACGAAATCAGCTTAATAGTTTTAGCGACTACTGTAACATTTGGAAATTGAAAGTTAATAGAAGTTAAACAAAATGTACGGTTTTTAGCAAAGGTCGGCATGTTAATAGAAAAGTTTTTGCTTTTAATGATGTAGACATAGAATGTGTAGACGAATATATGTACCTGGGAACAGTGTTCTCGCGCACATGTTCTTTAAATGATGCCAAAAACCATAATATTTAACAAGCCACAATAGCTACATTGTATGTATGATGTTTTAAAGAAAGGTAGAAAACTGAATTTATCTATCAAATGTATTTATGATGTTTTTAATAAAATAACAAACCCTATTTTGCTGTATGGACGTGAAGCCTGGGATTACACAAACACTCAGATTTTGGAACGTTTTCATTTAAAATTCTATAAATTGATATTAGGTTTGAAAAAAAGTACATCAAACGGCACATGTCCCCTTTTAATTGAAATAAAAACTAGAATGATAATTATTGGTTAATAATGCTACAGTCTAAAAAGAGTAAATTGAATATTGTTTTGTATCATATGTTATATCATGTTTAAAATAATGAAAACAAATTAATTCCCTACTTGAAATTCATACAAAGTTTTTTAAATAAATGTGGATTAATATTTATATGGAATTCCCAGGTTTTTGAACATAGTAACAAACCCGCTAGGGCTAAAACTTATTACGCAGTAAATATTCAATGACCAGTTTTTACAAGTGTTACAGAACATATGCATATAATTGTAATTTTGAAAATTATCTAGAATTGTAGACTGGAAATGAACGAATTGTATTGTGTAAATTTAGAACTAGTAATCATAAGTTTATAGTGAAAACTGGAAGATGGAATAATGTTGATTACCAAACCAGAATATGCACATATTCCGATACCCAAGACGTTGGTGACGAATGTAACTACTTGTTAAAACATCCCTTTCTGTCTACAAAAAGGAAGTTATATTTATATAAATACTACTATGTAATGCCAAATATTGTTAAGTTCTCAGAACTAATGAATACAAATAATGTTAAAATATTAAGAAATTTATGCAAATTTGTCAAAATTTTATTTTAAAAAATATCATGATTTGTCCTCCATGTATATTACATTTGATATTGTATACTGTTGTAATTATGTTTCCTCTGTACATTTATAATTTTGTAAAGAGTAATAAAGTTGAAAAGGCACAGGAAAAGCGATGTCACGTATAATGATTTTGCCTTACTGTTAATTTCATGGATGTATAATAATTGAGTAAGATTTTTGCTTGCAGCTGTTTGTTTCTTGGGTCTTTGAGGACCTTAGACAAAGGACGAATTATTTACAGCATCTGTTTTCCTCAGATAAATGTTTATGTAATTAATTTTAGCAGAAAAATACATACATGCCATTCATTGTAGAAGAATATAATAGTAAAATCCTCAATATAGAGTCTTCTTTGCAATATTTTATTATAGATATATACAGATAATGGAATGATCCAGCATACAAATCAAAGGAATACCATTGAGACAAATACATTTTTCATTTGAATTGATGCAATTGAAGGTTGTGAACATATCCGAATCAGGAAAAATCAACAAAATTGTAACAATAAAAATTCAAGCGGTCAAATATATTGCTGATCTTTTGATATTTCGGTTGATATCTACACACATTCGTCAATACATCGAAGTAGAAAAAAAACAATCACACAATTCCAGATTATTTTAAAATGTGCTATGGGGAGACTTTAAAAATTGACTCCTTGGAATATAAAACACGGGTCAGTCTTTAACTTTGGGAATGGAACTCGGTAGCCGTGGACAATTCTTTATTTTGACATATCCGTTGAACATGGACCCCGTTGAAAAGTAACCCGAATCTGAGAGCGTGTTTTACACACACGTGAGTACGTTTGCTATGAACTACTGCTAACATTGTTTTTACGGTGGTACGTTTCATCATGTGCATGAAAAGGTCGTTTAAAACCCAAATATCTACATGATTCACTGCTTAACGGCTTTAAGATATGGACATTGTTGCTTTATGTAACTCAGCCACCATTCAGTTGCACAAATCTAGAAGGTTACATGTTGAATATGACTATATTAGCCTCCATCATGTTCTTAGCAAGCACTTTTGAGTATTTTATATGGAAATATGTCATAATGTCTGCTTTCAACGTTGAATATGGAACTGTGGCAATTTAGAAAATAGACTGTTTAGAGCTCCATCTTTTACTTTGAATAGTAAAACGAAACCATTACACAAAATAAACAATAATATATTATCGAGTGAGTTCAAACGTTGACTCACTAGGGAAGTTCTTCAAGTGATCAAGGAATAGGAATTGTTTTAACGCTCTAGGGTCATTTTTAAGGTTTGGTGTTTAACTTGAGCAGTCATAAAAATAAACATGAACATGTTTAAGGACAATTTTCAACGTTGAAGATGGAAACGGAACAGTTCTTAAGTTCATCATTGAAAGGTTTCATAATGGTCAAAGATCTAATTTCAACAAAAAACCGGGCCCATTCAAAAAAATAAGAATGTTTTTTCACTTTCTGCTCTCGTTTTTCTTTTTCCACCCGTTTTGTTTGTTTGTTGTTGTTGTTGTTGTTGTTGTTGTTTTCTGTGGGTTATTTTCTTAATTGTCGGCAGTACTTTTAAGAGTTGTGTCACTTACGAATGTTTACATGTAAGTTCACAACAATTTCACTGATAGATATCCTTGTATATCTTAACACTTCGACTTTTTTGAAGTATTTTGAACTATTATCGTTTAAGTTTCATGTTTGGGAAGGTAATAGTCTAAAATAGTTTCACCCAAAGTGCTCGAATCAACCAAAAGCACTATTGTTGCAGCCAATGCTGACAGACTCTAAACACATACATGTACATTGTATGCAAAATACGATTTCAACATCGTCAACGGTTATAATTAACTCGGCGTTAATGGATCATCATTTTTACAGCCAAATTTAAGTATTAAAAGTCTTATGATTTCTGAGAAGATGTCCAATCTTAGAAGAAACATCTTTACAAAAGTAACTTATTAATTTTGACCAATACCAAAAATTCAAAAGAAGTAGCATAAGTAATAATAATACATGATCATTTTCAACGTTTAAGGGGAAAAGCGTTTTTTCCAGACGCTACATAATTTGACTTCGACTTTTGAGGTATATTGTTTGTTGTTTAAAGTAATGTTTCGGAAAAATATTTACACGTGCATACCATGTAAATACTCTATAAATTCGGTTGTAGCATGTTTTATCAAACAACAAGGCCACCGTACAAAAAACATTTCAAAATTATGTTAAACGCATGTTAATTCAATAGAAATATACATAGAAGCGGTATTGGCAGATATCCATGGTTCACTATGTCCAAATATAGTCTTCCCAATGCAGTAACTGACCAATATGACAAAAGATCACACCTACTGTCTTTCATCACAACTACGGCTGATGTATAGTCATACACAAACATAACTTAAGCGTATTAGAGTTATCAATGGTCTATTACTCAATAACTATCCATTCGTTTAACCCCACAACTGTTAATTGTATTAATAAACGAACTGTATTTCCATCACGTTATTGGCCCGTTACGGTATGACGCTTAACCTTCCGGAACACATGGCCATTTTATATCTGTACATTTCTAAGTCTCCATGTTATTTGTTTACTTTGTTCCTATTTTTTTTTTTTTTTAATTTAGAATTGTAATTACAGTTTTGATGACATGCTTGTATCCCCTGATTGCTTTATGTTTTTAATAAATATTGAAATTACTTGAATACTTCAAAATGAAATGTCGTTTGGTTTGGTTTATTGTTTAGGTACTATGGGTGGCCAAATCGACAACATGCCAACTTATGAGAAAAACGTTGGCAGTCTGTACTGCCTGGACACAAACGGGACATTGGTCAAGCATTTTAACAAGATCACAGTATCAAACGGACTAGCGTGGTCGCCCGACAAACAAGTTATGTTTTATATCGACACGCCGACAAGGAAAGTGGAGGCATTCACGTATCACGTCACATCCGGGAAAATAAGTAAGTTGTGCTCTCATTCATAAAAACGTAGGCATACTACACTTTTCTTCAGCAACAAATTATTTATCAGACAAGCATATCTTTGTTATTTTGATACGTTTGTCTATATAAAAGGATATATATATAGACCCGCAATTTTCAAAATCAAATAAAATGCAGATGCAGCAAATTTCTATAGTCAATCACCTTTTGAAATTGAGGGCGAGAAAGATGCTGTCTTCACAGTATTCTTCAGGTAATAGAACAGTTCCCGCGTACAACAGACACCCTGAGATACAACAAACTCATTGGAAGAACGAAATGGGAACTGTATAACATATTTCCTAATTCTGATTTATCTGGTGAATATCATAAACAGTAATATCGTGGTTTTACCTGACAAGAATCTACACAATAGTTGTTTTACCTGGCAGGCTTCTACATAACAGTGGTTTTACTTGTCAGACTTCTTTATAATCTTGGTTTTACCTGGCAGACGGTAATATCATTCATTGCAGGCAATAGACGGGATGCAATCGACTTCCGCTCATTTCCGGAAGAGAGCATGATGGGTTGGCCGGATGGTATGACCATTGACACAGACGGACACCTATGGGTCGCCTGCTACGGAGCCGGAAAGGTCATCTGTTTTGATCCCGTCACAGGTAAGAGTATTGCTACTATCTGTCTGTTATTCCCCGATTACATTTCAAAACAGAAAATTTATTTTCTGTGATATTTTGTTAATTTTTAAAGAAAAAAATATTTTCATCTGAATGTTTTATACTTGCCATGTCTTATGAGTCAATGAATCAAAATGTTTAGAAAAGCTTCGATTTCAAACGTAGGTTACGGTTTGGACTTACTTATGTGTATCTAAAGAGAGCTAAATTTCACTATCCGTAATATATGTACCAACAAATTTGTGTAATATTATTCCGATTTTGACGATGGTAAAATCTATCACCTGTCGTCGATGAATGAAACTGAAGTGTTTTCATGGCGTTCTAACAGGTAAAGCACTGAAAGAAGTAATCATCCCTGCGCCAAGAACGACTTCCTGTTGTTTCGGCGGGAAAAATTTGGACGAGCTTTATGTCACAACTGGGCCAAATGGTGCTTTTGACCAGGAATTAAGATATTTTCCATTATGTGGGTCAGTATTCAAAGTCACAGGACTCGGAGTAAAAGGTGTTCCTGCAAACATCTATGAGAGGGATGTCGACAGTCGACTATAAACTGGAAATGGATCGGTTAGATACCGCAATAAACATGCTTCGTGCTACATAAAGTTGTGAAACAATGATATTCTAATTATTTCAAAAGGAACAATAGCATACCGCACCCTTCTAAACGTTTTCCGGCATCGCATCACTTTTTCTCACGTTATTCCTGCTGAAGGTTGAGGTTATTCGAATAGTGATATTCTATGAGGGCTTCCACTTAGAGCTTTTTAATGTTCTCTCAATTGTAAAGGGTTGCCCAGAACAGTGAAGAAGCCGCTTATATTTGACATATACCGCCAAAAGCATGCTACGATTTCCGTTATTAAGCCCTATTGATATCAATACTGTATCATTGTTGCCGGAGGTGTATTATACCACAATAAACTAACATTCAGTAAACGCCTTGTAATTACCGGCTTTAAAGTACGTCTCGTTCGGCATCAGGTGTTGTCCGATATCACGCGTCGAATGGACACAAGTACATATGTATCTTAATTAAATATCGCACAAGCCGCTGGACATCTGATAGGGGACGGCGTTATGTTTCATGTCGACTTATTATAGAAAACATCATAATAAGAATTAGACGTTGAGCTGACCATATCCCCTACTGCCTTGCTACATATCCAATTTTGATAACCTTTTATTCTATATCTTGTCGGCATAATTACAGATGTATCCAAGGCCGATAATTTCATAAAGCTGAATGTCTAAAATATTGCAATTATCTATAAAATTTCCAGTGTTGTTCATACAAAAATAAACCACACTTTCCATACTAAATCACAATGAAAACATTGATGTTCAACAAGGGAGATGGTTATGACGTCCTACGGTGTTGCCTTGATAAATAACATCGTTTTGTTGTACATATAGATTTAATGGATGTTTTTAAACATAGATACCGGCCTTGATGTTAAAACTCTTCAAGAGGAAAGGTACTGTACGAGTACATATTTTAGCGGACACAAAATTTCGCATCTGTTATTAATTTAACAGATTAGCACAAAGATGAATTGGCACACTAACAATTGATGCAATAGAAAACTATACACAGGCACTTTAATTAGCGCCATAATGAATAAGCGCAATGTTTTAAGCGCGAAACGTGCTAAAATTGAGAAAATCGCTACGTTATACACTAACAGTAAATAAAAGCACGTCCTGACTTTTTCGGTAAGAAAAGGTTTGTTTCAACAAACTACATCTAAATGTTAATTTCTTACGATGGTCACACAGTCTCTAAGGCCGGAAGAAAAACGTCGAAAGTGTAGATATTGGTAAAGATATGTTAACATATTCGTGTTTACATGTTGTTTGAAAAATCAAATATCAAACTCGTCCCAGCATGTGGAGTAAATAGAAGCCTGCCTTCTTCCTAGCCTCTTAGGTACGCAGCTAGTAGAGGGCAGGCACTGTTTATTGAATTAAAATTAGAAATTCTAATAATCTGCTAAGAGTGTCCTTATTTCCGGTTACTTCTGCTTGTCAGATTCTATATAGACCGTGGACACGTGGTTTTGACATGTACCGGAAGCCCACGTCAGTGACAGTTATGTTAACTTGTGCTTGATTGGTTGATTGATAATCAAGAGTGAATAATTCTGTTTAAGGGAGCTCCATTATGTTTTGTCTCATCATTATTTTTTATGCATTTTTACTCAAGAGGTGAGCATACAATCTCACAAGCCAATTTAGATTTGGGGTCAGTGCCTTTTAGTTTTGTTTGCATACAATGAACTGTAGATAAGCGGATAATAGGGCAGCATACACTATCTATATATGTCACCATTCCTGTTTTTGAAATGTTCATTCATAGTTCAGCTATGTTTTGTTACTTAATCGTTAAAATCCTATCCTGTTAAATTCTCAAGTTTGTCTTAGAGTAATGACAATTCTGTCGGCAGTAAAGTAAAATAGAAAATATACGTTACTGAGATAGCTACCGTCGACTATATAACACTGCCTTTCCTCGCGTCGTTCATGTTTCCTTCAAACCAGGGACAGATATTTGACCCTCACATTAATCAGTAATTAGAACAGGTATTGTCCACCAATCAACAAGTCTGTCCAAACGTCAATTTTCCAAGAATGATTCTACACATTAATGACGATGCTTGTCTATATCAGGGAAGATGTGAATGGGTTTAAATAAAGGCACTGTTTCAGTTCGTTAACGTCAATCCATATATGTATATATAAATTACCTACAATTCCTAGCTATTCAACACTAAATCAGTGATTTCGTTTTCTAGGTCCCTTACTGTCTAAACGGAAGACACGGCGTCAGATTGTTTAGAGAAGTGCAAATAAATATAAAGATTTATATAGACCTACTTATAGATATACAAAGAATATATTATGCTCGCCAGAAAAAAGCTAATGCTGCATTAATTCATTTCTGTATTGCATTTCAACCTCTAATCTTTTATGAATTTTATGCATGAAGATTGCACAGACAAAAAAAATATCATGGCGATATTTGAATCCGCTACTTTAACAATCATGCACTTTTGTACATTATACGGAATGTTTTATTAGAACTCATCTTATCAAAACATTTCTTGTAAGATGAACAAAAATCTCAAGCCCAATACACGTGCACTTGACTGTGTGTGGCGTTAAACGGTTTAACAGACAAAGACCAAAGAGAGAGCTCTCAATGACATATCAGAACATCACACAGATTATTTGTCTTTGAAGATTCTACAGGAACTTCCCATTAACACTGTATTACATTACCTCTCGCATCGATCTGGGATCAGCGTCGGACAGGCATTACTGATGTGTCCAACACTTATACATATTATATGTAAGAGGACCTCTGATTGTATTAAGGCCTACCTAGATCTTTGCCTCAGCGCTTCCTGTCTGAAGTGTCATTTTAGTTGTACTATATTACTATACTTAACATTTAATTGAGTGGTGTTGTTTTTTTTTATAATAGAGCATGTGCTAATCAATGGTCGGATTCGATGGAATGAGGTGGTCAAGGGTTCTACAGGATATAGAATCCACTTTGTTTCCTACCGATTTTTGGCGGCTTGGCGATTCCTGTCCGTCTGTCCGTCTGTATGCACTACGTTATTTATTTACTTATGTATCTAAGGATGCTAATCACATGTGATGCTTCAGATGCTGCTTCTGACCTAAATTTCCCCGCTTGACTGACCAGGTTTAGTTGATTGGTTGAGGTCAGGCCCCATCTGCACTATGGTTAAGAAGATTGGTTTAGGTCACTTACCAAGCAACTACTTGTCCTACATCAACGAAACTTGCATGGCGTATGTATCTAAGGATGCTTATCACGTGTGATGCTTTACATGAAATTGTCCTTTAGCAATCCGGCCATATCGCTTTTGGCGGTTTCTTGCTTATATTAAAAAGCAAAACAATATCGCTCAGGTCAGCGTCGACACTCTAAATATAAGAAAAACAGTTCCCTGCTTTGGGTTCAGAACTTGAATGAATCTGTCTGAACCGAACTCAGGAAACAAATGTTCGCAGAACTTTAAACAGCATCAACAGCATACAATCAGAAGAACATTTACCCCTTCTTTGCTCGCTGGTTTATTGAAATAGCACCCAATACTTACGTACAGGTTTTTATGTGCTCGGTATTGACAAAAATGTCGTCTAGCCCTTGTGCTGAATCTCAAAAATCTCATCCTCGGTTTTAAATGAACCAACCACACACTTTTCTGATGGTGTTGAGTCCCACTTAACTCATTTGCTTGGGCTAACAAGAATTCAAGCCATTTTCCTTTTCCTTCATGGAGGAAATAAAGCACTTGGTTTGGCGATGATTGCCCCTGATTGTTCTCTTCCCAATTAGATGTCAATTTGGCGCTATACTCGTCCTAGGCGAGTTATGTCCCTTTAATATCGTGCGGATATCTCATCGCGTGTCAATCAGACGAGATAGTTTGATGACGACATTTCGTGTTTAATGGTTCAAGTACAACAGTTGTCGTCAATCTAGGTCAGATCATGAGATACCACATTCCATAAATGTCTAATTCGTCGACTAACACGTGGGTAATGACATCTTATTACATCTACTGCAATGGCGTTTGTTCTGTCAGCTTTTGATGACTGCAATATATTGCAAGACTTCAATTAAATTGATGTTTCTGTATAATTTAAATTCAGCAATGAACAACGTGGACAGTCTTAGACCACTTTAACATACAAAATGAACCATTCAATGTAAGGTCCCGACTACCAATGTGGTCAATGTAAGGTGATTTTAACCACATGTACATAACACGTGCATGTTTACCTGCAATAGTTAACTCTTTTGATACGGGTTCGTGAATAAAAATTATGTAACGGCAAATTATGATGCTAATTCTTGAAATAATAATATATGACGTACTAGAGGCTTTGTGAAACGAGGAAGAAATGGTAACAATTATTTATACAGGTCTCCACAACTTAGTATGCCATCAACATTCTACAATGCTCACTTCCGGTATACCAAAATACCTTATTACACTATACAGTTTTATTTGTTTGAATGACAAAAACTGTGCAATCAACTGTTGATATTTTCACATACTCCTAGTTTTCCATGTGATACATGTTATAACAAAATCGTAGACTCACCCGTGATGTCTACAGAACGTACTTCCGGTTTTAAAGGTGATATTACATTGTGGCATTGGAAAGAGACGTATTTACCTCTATAGAAGAATATTCACATCACCTTCAACACTGTTCTCCTTTCTTTTTATCATCTATTTCATTTATATATGAAAAACTAGCATCTAAATTGGATTGAAAATAAAACTTTCCTGGATACAGTTTGGCAGTAAACCTAATAAAAGTGAGTCAGCTTGTTATTCAAAGGGGACTCCATTTTTATACATGTTCACAGCTCCAGTTTCGAAAACACTATAGAAAATAGATAGTTATATGGACGAGGAAAAAAGAAATTGTTAGCTGTTTTCTAAATAAACCTGCTAATGTAATGTGAATTTAGAATTTTACGCTTACTTGTCTTCCCCTAACAAT